TTTACCATGTTGGCCAGGCTGGTCTCTAACTCCTGAACTCAAGCAGTCTGCCTGCCTCAACCTCCTAAAGTGCTGGGATTATAGGCATGAGCCGCTGAGCACAGCCTATTCTTTCATTTTTGTTGGTATGAATTTCAGTGGTGCAAGTACAGGCTGTTACAAAGATACACTGCACAGTGGTGAAGCCTGCACTTTTAGTGCAACCACCACCGAAATACCATCAATTGTACCCATTATGTAATTTATCACCCCTCCACCCCTCCCCCTCCGCCCTTCCGAGTCTCCAGTGTCTTATCAGTACACTCTCTATGTCCACGTGTACATGTTATTTAGCTCCCACTTAAAAGCAATAACCTGTGGTATTTGTCTCTCTGTTTCTGTGTTATTTCACTGAGGATAATGATCTCCAGCTTCATCCATGTTGCTGCAAAGGGCATGATTTCATTCTTTTCTATGCCTTAGTAGTGTTCCATGCTGTGTGTGTAACACGTTTTCTTTATCCAGTCTATCATTGGTGGACACTCAGCTCAACTGCCTACCTTTGCTGTAGTAAATAGTGCTGCAATGAGCATCTGCATGCATGTTCTATCTTTGTGATATAATAATTTCTTTTGCCTTGGGTGTATACCTAGTAGGGGGATGGCTGGATCAAATGCTAGTTCTAGTTTCAGTTATTTAAAAGAAGTTTATACAGTTTTCCATAGAGGTTGTTTCTGGACTAAGCAACGAAGAGATCAAGTGACCATCTCCTGATGGAGAAGCAGCCCACAGGTACAGACCAGGGGGAGGGGTGGTGACCATTTCCTGATGGAGAAGCAGCCCACAGGTACAGACCAGGGGGAGGGGTGGTGACCATCTCCTGATGGAGAAGCAGCCCACAGGTACAGACCAGGGGGAGGGGTGGTGACCATTTCCTGATGGAGAAGCAGCCCACAGGTACAGACCGGGAAGGAGAGGGACCAGCTCCTGATACAGGAACAGCCCCACAGGCACAGACCTGGAGCTTGGCTTTGAACTGGCCTCTTGAGAGCCTTCATGCAGAAGGTCAGCCCCTCACCAGGAAGCCTGCCCCTGGCAAGGGCAAAGAGACCCAAGGATGAGCTGGAGAGGAAGAGACACTGCACAAACCTAGTGAAGACTCCGGAGCCACAGGGACCTGGCGCTGAGGCAGCATCTGGGTTCAGCTGGTGCGGACTCCACAAGGGCAGAGGTTCCCTCTAAACCCAGAAACTGCCCATGTCGGGGAGTGATTTCTTCTCTGCGTCCCTGGCAGTTTTCCTAGAAAGCCTGAAGCTTCTCTAGCCTCAATGGGACCAGCCCTACTCTCCACCCCACTGCAGGGAGCAGCTAGGAGAGATGTGAGGAGCCCAGCAGTGGCAATGGAGCAGAGGCTGTCTGGGCAGGGAAGGCCCCACCAAGGAGCCACCAGCATCACCAGTGGAGCTGGGCAGCAAGCACTTGCATGCCCACAGCAGTTCCCCAGGAAATGAACGGCGTACGGGTGGAAGGGACCCAATAACAATGCTGTACTCATTGCCAGGAACTTGCGATAGCCACCCAGGTAGTCAGGGGTGGGCCTGGTGGTCAGGGCAGGCCACTCGGCTGGTGTACCTTTCCAGACGTGCCAGGGCCCCAGGGGCTGCACCCTCTGAAAGTCAGGACTCAGTGTGCACTCAGAGTGGGACATAGCTGAGGACCCCACTGCTCTGCCTGTGCCCCACTCCAGGCCCTGGCAAAAAGCAGTCTTTCTTCTCTCTCACCCACTGCCTTTCCCCTTTTCTCCCTTTCTCACTCCTTTCTTTCCATAGACATTTATTGAGCACTTTCTGAGTGCTATTAGACATGTCCAAGGAGAGATTGTAAGCCCTCAGACATAGTCTCCTCCTTCCCAATTCTGTCTGGGAAGAGAGACATACAGACAGACATCATACAGATGGTCACAGCACATGCCTAGAAAGTTACAGTCATCTCTGTCCTGGGGAGAAGACAATGGAGGCTTGAAGGCAGGGCTGCACCATCAGACATGCCACATTGCCTGTACACACGGAGCCCAGCACATGAGGACAACACACAGCTGCCCCTCTCCACACCAGAGCTAGTCCTGTTTCAAGATCAAGCATTTCTCTCATTGTGCAGAGCAACACAGACTTGTCCCACTGTGTGTACTTGGACAATGCTTCTCCTGTCAGAACCTCAGTCTGCAGCTGTCCGAATACAGGCCACAGATGAAAACGGTCTTCCGCTCAAGGTTCCTCTCCATGTGGACCACTTGGTCTCTCTTCCTCCAGAGGACCCTCATCCTCCTGCTGCCCCTGAATCCCCAGGGCCACACACTAGGATTTCCTCCTGCGTCCCCTTCCCTAGACCTCCACCCAGGCCTGCTCTGCTTCCAGGCTCTCGGTCTGCCAGAGACACAGGGTTGAGAACCCAGCACCAGCTTTGAGTCTTCTCTTGTTTATCCCCCCACCACCACCTCCACATACACACTGCACATGGTTGCTAAAACCATATTGAATTATTTGGGGAAGAAGGAAGGGAGGGGGCAGGGAAGGAGGAAGGGAGGGAGAAAGGACCTTTGGATTGTGCAATCCTTAAGAGTAATGCTCTGAGATCAGATGGCCTGAATACAAATATCTTTTTTTTTTTTTTTTTTTAGATAGGGTCTCACTCTGTCGCCCAGGCTGGAGTACAGCGGCACAATCTCAGCTTACTGCAACCACCGCCTCCCCAGTTCAAGTGATTCTTGGCTTCAGCCTCTCAAGTAGCTGGGATTACAGGTGTGCGCCACCACACCAGGCTAATTTTGTTTGTTTGTTTAGTAGAGATGGGATTTCACCATGTTGACCAGGCTGGTCTGAAACTCCAGATCTCAGGTAATCTGCTCATTTCAGCCTGTCAAATTGTTGGCATTACAGGCATGAGCCATGATGCCTGGCCACAAATATCTAATTTTGGCTCTTCCACTCACGGTGAGTTGGACAGCTTTACCTTCCTGGATCTCACTTTCACCATCTAAAAATGGGTTATAATTAATACCTCCTTCATTCAAGTTGTTATGATGATCAAATGATAGCATGTAAATGATGACCCACTTATCACCTTGCCCAGGAAATGACTAGAAAATATCAGGGAGTGTTTTTAGGCCATTTGCAGGCAGCAAGACACACATTTGAATCCATACCCCGACAAAGCTGGTGAGCTTTGAGCAAGTTGCTGGTTTTCTCTCTAAGTTTTCTCCTCTCTGAAAAGAGTCATACAAAATGCATGAGAAGGTAGGCTGTCTGAGAGTGAAGGCTGTGTCTATCCCACAGGTGTATCCACAAAGCCCTCAATGCATACTGGTTGGAAGAATCAATGCTGGGAATCACCTTCATCCTGCTGGCTTATTGCTAAAATTAGAGTTACCAGTGTGAACTCTCTGCGTATAGTAGGCACTCAGCAAGTAGTACCTGAGAGTATTTCTTCTCCAAAGGCCACTGCAGGGGCAAGCTTTCACTGCACTAGCCAGCTCTAAGAGCCTCATGACTGATCCCTGTGCTGTCATCATCAGACCCTCTCCAGTCTTACGCCACCAGATCAACCTTTCGAAGCACAAGTCAGTCTCCAGCTCAGAAACCCCCTCTGTTCCCCCAGAAGTGCAGACTTCTCAGTCTGACATTCAGGAGTTCCTCAAGCCCCAATCCTAACTGCCTCTTATAAGGATCCTTCATTCAGTTCAATCCGACTTTCTTAGGCCACTGCCTCCTCTGGAGATACACCCTCCCCTTACTCGCACACACGCACGCACCCACGCACACACACCTCCCTTCTGCCACTGGAATCTGGCACATCCATCAAGACTTCACACAGATGCCAGGCCCTCATCTCCAACCACTCCCCACACAACATTCCCGTTGCGTGTATTTGAGTCTGCCAGCATTACAGCTGCTTGGGTACTCTGGGTAGGAGCAGGAACTGTCTTTCCACAGAACCAATTTCAGAGCCAAATAAATAGTGGGTTAAATGTATCAACTTAAAATAACTCCCATGCCCATCTGGACACTTTTCTTCTCCATTCAGACTGAATCCAAGTACACCGTTCCCTCCATGTCCTGGCCCATGGCTCTGGTACCCAGCTCGCTTTTACTTAGAGCAGCTCTCTGAGTGCAGCTGATCTAGGATGCTACCCCTCCAGGATGACATACCTGCACACTGGCAGGGGCCTCCAGGATTTTAACCCACATTAGTTAGAACTTCAGACCACAGGGGGAGATACTCTGGAAAGAGGAGCTCTCCAGTGCCCCCTGAGTCCCACTGTGTATGGGTGGGTGCCCGCTGTCTGCCTGAGAGTTGGCCCTCTGGGAAAGGCTGGCCTCGCTGCCCTAGGCATTGGCTGCAGAAGGGTCCAGAAGGCAGCAGCCTTCTGACCGCCCAGGGATGCTTCTCCAGCTGGGCTACACCCAGGGCCCCCAAGACCAGGACATGGGCAGGCTTCCTATTGGCAGAATGGCTATGAGGATAGAACTCTTCCCAGAACTTTATTGTCCACTTGTGTTTCCAGACCTTTCCCCAGCCAGGGACTTGACTGGAGATAGGAAGCTTTGATGGAGATGGGCCACGGATTCAGGGTGGACCAGGCCCCGCTGCGTTACCATCATCAGATACTCCCTTGGGAATGCACATCCCAGAGTCCCTCCCAGACCTGTCCACCAACTGGAATGGGGATCCAGGGATCACATGGCCTCCAGCTTCCAGATGATTTCTGTATTTACTACAAACCTTGAGCCCCCCTGGGAAGCCTCAGAGACCCGGGCCTGACCCTTGCCTCATGGTGTGCAGTGAACTTTGAGCATTTGCCTTCCTGGGGGTTTTGTTTCTGCACTTTGCCATCTTTAGAGATTCTTAATTTTTCTGATATAAGTTCTACTCAAAAGGACTCTGATACACACGAACCAATATTTACAAATGCTTAGATGAGAAGCTGAGTCCTATTGGGGGGAGATGGATGGGAAATGATATACCCAAAAAATCCTTGAGTCATTCAGCACACACATGTGCCTGGACAGCAACATTTTTCAGCCTTTCTCAAACGTGCCTCACTCTTCTCCACAAGTTCTGCTGCCTCCTAGAATGTAGAAAAGAAGCCAGCGTTCAGAGAAACGTGCTCACAAGAATTGATGCCTCATCCATATTGCATGCTGACCGCAATCACGAAAAACTGAGCCTCACCCCTCTTTTGCTGATGGGAAATTGAAGCTTGTGCCTATTAATGAGCACAAGGTCTCACAGCAAGTACCTTTCAGAACTAAGATTTGCGCCCACTCTGAGGTTGTGAAACCCACCTTCTTCCCCCCACCCTCCAGCCGCTCTTCCCCACCTCTTTGCCTTGGGGAATTCTTCTCAGTGGGCCCCCACTGGATGGCAACCCTCGGAGGGCTCTGCAGACCCCTGCAGGTGGAATTGTTACCTCTCTTCTCTCTCCTTCCTGGGTACTCCCTCCCAGCAGTGGCCATCACTGTTCCTCCTTAAATGAACTTGGCTACATATCTGCCTTCACCACCAAAGTTCCTGAACTCCAGCCCTGCATCTTAACAGTGCTTTTTCCCCAGACCGTAGGAGTGGCTGACCCATGAAAAGGGCTCAGTGACAGTGGAAGGGACGGTGCAGACCTGTGCCCTTGGGCTGGGAGTGAAGGACGATTTTGCCAGCTTTTGCTGTGGCCTCTTCCAGTTCCTTTAACCCCAAAGAGGCAGGGCCCAGGTCTCTGATTTCAACCTCCGTTCAGAACCCGCATCCTAGGAGCCTGGCTTGAGACTGCTTGTTGGGAGCTCAGCTCAGGCTTTCTGCCGGTGGTGTTCTCTCCCATTTCCCTCTTCTAAACAGCCATATGTAGCTTGTGAGAATCTAAATGGACATTGAATGACTAGAATCTAGCTTCCTCTCTTTGTGGATTTGATTCCTTCTCAACCCTTATTGTACAAAGCAACACAGGCCATTAAAGCATGATTTCGGAGGTCCAGCAATTGAACTCAAAGTTGGTTCTGGAATTACACAACATGTGCCTGAACAACCCTCAGAGCCCCAAATTCAAGTGTGGAAGGAACAGCAAAGGCATGACGTCATGGCAGTTTCTCCTCTGGTGACTGGTGTGGCAGGAGGGAAAGTGGACAGGCTCACAGGACGGTCTACGGCCACCTGACATTTCCAGTCGATGTCTAAAGCAGGAGAAGACACAGACCTCATTAATCCCCACAAAGGGCAGCTTGGGGAGAGGGCAGCCTCCTCCTACTTCTTGGCTCCCCCTGTGTTTCCTGACACTCACTGGAGCTTCATTACCATTAGCAGCTCTGCAAATTGCACCATCAGCAAAATGCCCAGGTAGTCAATAACCAGCTCCACAAGCCCATCCTGGTCAGGGACTCTTCTTTCTGCCCCTTAATGAAAGGCACAACCCCCTGGCATTGCTACCTGTCTCTAGGCTAGCTGGGAGCCCATTAAACTTGGAAACGGAAGACCCAAGTTCTATCCCAGGCTCTGATGCCTGCCAGTCATATGAGCTTGCAAAACTAACTTAGCTCCACTGGGTCTCAGTTACTCATCCATAAAATGGGAGCAGCAATAGCATGTACTTCATAGGGTTGTTATGAGGGATTGAATGAGATCATCTATGTAATTAGTAAAGTGATGGCACCAAATAAGGACTCAAGGAAAGATAGCCATTGTCATTGCTACCTGTCACATGTTCATGATCACATTCACTCAGCCCATGTCAGGGCTATTGGGAGTTCCAGTCCCTGCCCTGAAAACTCAGATGAGAGAAACTGCCATTATTATTCTTGAGCCAGTCTCTCCCACTCCCTGAGGTCTCAAAGGCCCATCTTCTCAAACGCCCCCATCTGTCTGTTCTCTCTGCCTTCTGTTCCTATATTTGCTGTGACTCCTACTCCTTGGTTCTAATCCTGAATCCAGAAGCTGCCAATGCCTGCTGAAGGCCCCTAGCACTGCCTAGAGCAATGTTTTCTTGCTGCAGGAATGAGGACTTGGAAGGGTGGAACACTGTGACAAAGTGATCCATAAACCAGCTGTGCCCAGATGACTGCTAGGTCTGCATATAATCGAGCAATCAGTATGACCATGTGGCCCATTCAGGGAGGCCCAGGCCACATGGAGGCCATGGGAACAAATGGGATCACAAACTCAGCTCACAACGCCCCCAGTCAAAGCAAAGGAGCAAGGACTCACCAGCCTGGGGACAGAAGGAAATTTGGCTGAGTCTCAAAATTAATAGGGCCCTTGTCCAGCCTGCGGTGTGGAGAAAGATACTGTTGTCAGAGGCCAATTCTGCTGGGGACTAAGTCAGTGTGGGATTGATTTTTAAAGCCTGAGTGCTGATAGATGGTGTGATGAAATGAGAGATATAAATTGTCACTCTTTGCAATCACAGATGCTGTCTCTGCGGCTGTCAGGGACTAAGAGGGCAGGCTGTCATGGGGAGACCCAACCCTGGCAGGCTTCCGTTTGTCTGGCCAGCATTCTAGAAGACATTTCTTCTGTGCTAACCCCTCAGAGGAGTGACCGCCAACAGCTTTATGGGGCAGTGTGATGGCCAGCAGTGATAGCTCAGGGGGTGCTCTAAGCCCTCCTCCAGAACCTACGGGCCTTGTGGCCTTGCACAAGTTACTGGACCACTGTGCCATAAATCTCATCGTCAGCGTAATGATGGCAGTGGTAATACTACCTTATCAGGTCATTGGTTCACAGAGCAAGCATATGGATGTTGATGGGAGCAAAACATCCCAATTAACAAGCCAACCCCAATAAGGCAACTCATTTTTCCACAAAACACACTGCCATAGAGAGGAAAATTCCAGGGATTTTTAATTGAATGACTCAACAATGCCATGATAACCTAGGTTCCTTTCATCTTCTCCCTCTGCCACCCTTCTGCTGTTCTGTGCTCGTGCTGGGTTCCCCATGGTCGCAGTAAGGCTGCCTCTGTTCTGGCCTCACATCAGGGTGAGACACATGGAGAGAAGGAAGACAGGCAACATCTTGCTTTTGCCTCTTTTTTAAAACCTCTCTCGGAAGCCTCTCACCTCATCTCCACTTTTATCGCATTGGTTAAGATCGCGTCCCATGCTGTTACCCTTATGTAAGGCAATGGCTTACTAGAAACACGTGACCATGATTGGCTAGTCCTGTGGGTAAGGCCAGCTTTTCTTAAAACACACAGCAGTGGCCAGGTGTGGTGGCTCACACTGGTAATCCCAGAGCTTTGGGAGGCCGAGGGAGGCAAATCACAAGGTCAAGAGTTCAAGACCAGCCTGGCCAACATGGTGAAACCCTGTCTCTACTAAAAATACAAAAAATTAGCTGGGCATGGTGGTGGGCACCTGTAATCTCAGCTACTTGGAAGGCTGAAGCAGGAGGATCACTTGAACTCACTTGAACTTTTTTTTTTTTACTTCTTTCATGTTTGTACTGCGGGTGGTTTCAAAAGCTGGAAGCTTATCAATTTCTAGGTATAGAAATATCTCCTTCACAATGTATATGTGGGAGTGTGTGTATGCTACGAAAATATATACACACATATATTCACATATAAATATATACACATCTACATATATATTTATAGTATACTAATTAAAAGGTAAATTCTTAATGATCCATGAAAAGAGAATGGCAGGCCAGGTATAGTGGCTCACACCTGTAATCCCAGCAAAGCAGGAGGTTGAGGGGGGAGGATCACTTGAGCCCAGGAGTTTGAAACTGGCCAGGGAAACATGGTGAGACCCACTTTCTACCTCTCGGGAGACAGAGGTTGCAGTGAGCTTATATTGCACCACTGCACTCCAGCCGGGGCCATCGTCCATCTAAAAAAAAAAAAAACACATGGCAGTGTATCCCTGATCCAACAGGAAGAAAAGCCAGCCAACAGGCATGGGAGGTATAGTCAACTACAGCAGGTGAAGCATCAAGGACACTGCCAAACGTTTGATGGGCGAACATTCAATGGTGTCTCTACAGTGTGACGTGTCTTAACTGTAACTCCGTATGATGAACTGCAGGCTTCCAGCAGACGTGATGATGTGGTTCACGCCTCCCAGCTCACTCTCCCAGCAAATACACCTGCCTTATGAAAACACAACACTGCTCTACAACTAAGCACATTATTAAAGACTACTATTCAGGATTCATGTGATTTATTTCCAAAACTAAAGAAAGCTGCATTTATGTGAGACACACAGGTTACAGAAGTATTTAACAGAACATCAAAATGTAAGCACATTTAGACAGAAATCATACCAATTTTCAATTTCACCCTTTGCAGTGGATTAATGGAATTTCTGCTTCCAAGGCCGCAAAGAGCCCTCCTTTCTAACTCATCATGCGTCTTCATTGGCTCCCACGTCCTCTGGCTTCTCCTGCTGCAGTGTCCCTCCTCACTCAGTTGCTTTCATCAGTGCCCTAGAGCTGGTTTCCACTGGCTGAAAAGCAGCCTGGCCAGCAAGTACAGGACAGCTTCCTCCCAGGGAAGGGTTTTCTTCTCCCGGCTTCATTCTGCAAGCCTCCTCAAATCTTTTTGAATAGGGGTAAGTGCCCATAACTGAAAAATATAGATTCTGTCCCCTGACTTCATTCAACTCTCTGAGAAGTCAAGGTAGCTTTCCCCATTTAAAAAATTGCTTTTATGCAGATACACAGGCAGAAGGAAAAAGGGCAGAGCCTGTGGTTGCAGAGTCTCTGTGGCTGTCCCCTCGGGGCTACAGTAGGCAGGGATGGCAACGTGGTGGTCAAGGCCAGGCTCTGACACTGAGGCAGGATCCTCCAGAGGTAAGGCCAGCACCCTCCCCAGTCTCAGGCTCAGGCCTCAAAGACAGGCATTGGGGAGCCTGCAGCAACCTGCAGCGGATGGGAAAGACCCATCTTCACAGCACGGTGCCTCCTCACACCTGCACACAGAGGCACACGGATGAAAGAGGTGGTCAATGATAGTGCCTCCTGTCCCACAGCCTCCTCAGCAGCTACACGGGTCCCTGTGCAACCCACCCCCACCCCCCTGCCACCACCCCTCAGCCAGGGTCTGAGAAGCCACTTCCAAAACCAGGCTTGTTAAGCCAGGAG